ATAATTATGAGAGAATAAAGAAATTTGTGATAAAAAACTGAAATGATATGAAAAAATTAAAAAAAATATTTTCTTTCAAATTTAATTTTTTAATCATTTTTTAAAAGAAAACAAATACTGGAAAATTTCTCAATATATATTTCTTATATGTTTCTTAATTTCTTTATTGATCAATCTTTTTTTTAAAAAAAAACTAAAACTAATTTATATTCAATGAAAAGAAGTTATTTTTCTGTTTTTAGTACATAAATTCATGATTATAAATTCTATTTAATTCTTAATTGAAAGACAATTATTAATTGTAAATAAAGTGATCGAAAAAAAAAAAGAGATATTAAATAATATGAATTCTAAAAAGGAGATTTGAGGATTGTTTGAAATATAAATTGCAATATAAGTGAGAGGAGATGGAAGATAGAAAGAAAAAAGAAGTAAATTTTATAATATTAAAATGAACACGTTTTGGGAAATTGAATTTCTGAAATTATTTATATGAAAAATTGATAGGGATTAATTAGTGAATGGAATTGAAATAATGTAGTGTTTATTTATATTTGATTATAATAATAATAATATATATAGATGGCATAGTAGAAAGGAAAGAATAAGATTAATCATAGATAAAGGTAGGGTGATTGGATTTGTAGTAATTGCAACAATATGAATTTTGCCTTTAGAGATTCTTGTAATAGATGTAATGCTATGAAGAATGTGAAAAATAGTGAAATTAAAGGATTCAAATCTGCTCTATTTTTGACTGAGAGTAATGGGGATATACCTCCAATATCAGATTAGTCAAGTAAATCATCAGGTGAGAAAACGGATATAGGAACTAATAAGTTTTCTTTTGATAAATTGCCTTCAATGGAACCAATTTTAAAACAGATAACTAAAGAAACATGTATAATCAATTAAAATATGAAGAACCAAAGTATGATTTCTTTGAGTTTGAATGGCATTGTTAATAATGTTAAAAGATAAATTAATACTATAAAATTCATTGTTTTGAATGTGGAGCTTAAAAGTATAGAAAATCTACGATTTGAATTATAATAATACAATTTTGATTTTATTATTATTAAATTATTTAGTTATTAATAGTGAGTAATGGATCTAAAAAAATATAAGATTGTTAATCTAATCTTATGAATGAATAAATAATATAAATTTTATTAATAAAAAATTTAACTGTTAATGAAGGATATCTCAAAAAGAATCTTTGAAAAAGAGAATTAAGCAGAAGTATCTAATGATCCTAAATAATTGAATAAATCATTGACTTAATTGGTATCATTGACAATGATAAACAATACTCGAAGTATGATGATGTTTTATTTTACTTTTTAGAAAATGAACTTAAGAGTATAGATATAAAGAATAATAATGTTTCAATTAGACCACTTGTATTTTGTAAGCCTGAGTAAAAAGTTTAGGTAAAAACAATATCATCTCCATAAAAAAAATCAACAGAAAAGCGTAGTTAATCAAAAGAATTAAGTAATTTAATATTGAACTACTCTGAACCTATCTTAGAGTATTTTTAAGAATTAAATGTATATAATACATTATAAGTTTAAGATTTAAAGTCCTAAAAATAGTTTATAGAATCATTCAATAAATGCTAATTTGAGAGCTAAAATGATTGATTGGATTGTTGAAGTTGTTTCATCTTACAAATGCAAAGATTAAACTTTTTATTTATCAGTAAGATTGATGGATTTATATTTATCTAAAACAACTTAGAAACATGTTTCATCAGATTTACATTTAGTAGGAGTTACTTCAATGTTTATGGCTTGTAAATATGAAGAAATTTATCCTGTTAAATTATCAATAGTTCATGAAAAAATAGCACATAAAAAATTAACTAAGGAAGAAATAAAGGACAAAGAGGCTAATATTTTATAAGTTATAGATTTCAATTTAAATGGAGCTACTATATTAGACATTTTAGCAATGGTTTTGTCAATATTGAATCTTCATTAATAGTTATATGAAGCAGCTGATTTCTTAGCAAAATTAGTATACATTAAATTAAATAAAATAGGCTTTATTTGATTATGAATTTGTCAATAAATATTCATATTTGGAGATAGCATGTGCTGTTTTAATTATTAGTACAAAAACAATAGAATAGAGTGATTAAAGTTTATCATCGGAAGTGACAGTTCCATTGATTATTTCAACATTGAAATTAAATTATTAGGATTCTATTAAGTGTGCTACTCGATTACTAGAATTATCAAAGGGATTTGAGAAACAGTTTCCTAATTTAGAAAATCTTAAGAAATTCAGTAAGTTTCGAATTTCAGACATCATGAAGACAAAATGTTGATTATATTACTTTCATTTAATTTTTAAGAGTTATTTAGATTATAAATAAACAATAATATAATGAAAATAAATAATTGTTGTATGATTTAGACAGTTATTGGAGGAAAAAAGAATTGTAAAAAATATGGCACGTTAAAAATAGTTAATTTTGTGATAAAAATAAATACATGAAAATAATGCTATTTACATAATTTTATATTCTTGAAACATTTAATTTAAGAAGTTGTATTTGAAACCCTTATAATGAAAATAAGTTATTCAAAATTCATTGAATATAAAATAATGCTAATAAAAAAATAAGAATTTTCGTTTTAGAGATATTGAACATTATAATTATATTGTCACGTTCTTATTTAAGTATATGATTATGGGTAAAACTGATGTTAATATGGTTATTATGTGTAGGAATATTGTGGCAATAGTTATGAAAGCGAGTCAAATTCTTATTTGATTTATCCTTGAGGTTTTAAATCAATGATTGATTTAAATACATACTAGGAGGCGATTAGTAAATTTTGAAGGATGGATTAATACATCAAATAGGGCTAATTCATTTATGATGTAAGTGAAGAAGTGAAGTTGTAGCATTAAGTTTGTAAAAGTGATTTTTATTGGTTTGTTAAGGCTATTTGATCAAGTAGCGATGGCTGTTTGTCAACATATATCTAAATATAAAATATCTAAAAAATACCTATTGAATATCGGATTGAACACTTAAAGGTTAGATTTCCATGGTGAAAGGATTTACAACACTAATTTTTAGAATACTTTGAACTTTTAACTTCTTCTTTCTAGTTTCTTTTTTTCCTATGCGTCCATCTTTTTCATAAGTCTTGTATATTGTTCGTACAGTACAATACTTCAATTACAGATTGCTTGCTACCTAATGAGATATATTAATTGAAAAAAGCAACAATATATTTAATGGATATAGATGATGACAAATGAAAATTATGATGCTTTATACCTCTTATAGTGATAGCTTTTAATTCAAAAGCATATCAAGTACGACTTTTCTTTAATCACATTCGATTTTTTGATATTGTTTACTTTTCTTTGGTTAGTCTTAATTATTATTGGATTTGCCCATACCTTGTGAATCTTTTATAATTATTATTTTGGAAAAATATTTTCAAATCAGATCTGGCTTTTAATTTAAAAAAAGATTCATTAGTTATTATATTAGTATAATTATAATTAGTTGATTTTATATTTTTTTTATATAACAATGCATATTTTTAAAATCTTAATTTCAATGAAACTATAAAAATGTGAAATAATAAAATTTTAAAGTTCATCCTTAAGAATTAACAATTTTATGAAAATCTACACCTAATGGTAAGATATAAATATTTTGATATAAATCTAAGGGTGTTTATAATTTTGTATAAATAAATATAAATTTATATAGATAAAAATAACATTCATAATTATATTTTTTTTCTTCTTTGAGCAGCACTTTCATCTTCATCTTATTCTTCTTCTTCTTCTTACCTTGGTTAAGAGATGGATTTTTTGGATTCTCTTTCTTCAATTCTTCTTCCTTTTCTACTTACTTCAGCTTTCATTCTTTCTTGATCTTTAGCTTTAAATATATCAAATAAAAATAATCGATAAACACAATGAAATTCTTTAATATCATCAAAATGTAGAGGTCTTCCTAATTCAAAATCTCCTTTTAGAGATACACCTTTATTTAATTAAAAATAAAGAGTTAAAACAAAATTTTAGGTTTGATCAACATAAACTTCAAAATTTCTTTAACTAATTGATCTATGCATCATATCAAAATAACTATTATATGTTCCTTCTAATCCACTTTTTTTACGTTTTTATTCAAATTTTTCTAAATCAAAATCTTCAACCCAAAAATCAAAACCATTAGTTACTTATATTTTACAACGTCCTTTACTTTCCATAGGTTGAAAATATATAATATATTCTTTTTAATTGTATATAATGAGAGTATTAAGGAATGCCAATTTGCCAAGTGATCTACAAAATTCAACTCTTCTTTCTGTCATAAAAAAATTAATAAAGTGTACAAGAGTATGTTTTAGGAAATAAAAATAGTTAATATCATGGTTATTATTGTATAATTTAATAATAAATTTAATTAATGATGGAAACAGAAAACTAATAAATTGGTAATTAAATAAAACCTTAAACAACAATTCTATGTTCAATATGTGATATTGCATTCACTCCAAGTGAATAAAAGACATTAATTTGCAAAAATTGTATTATCAATTAGACTGATATTACGATTGGGATAACAAAGGAAGGAATAGTGAATTATTGTAGATTCTGTCATCGTTATTTAAGACCACCTTGGACATTATGTGAGAGAGAATCCAAAGAGTTATTAAGTATTTGTTTAAAAAGATTGAGAGGGTAAAATAATTTGAATCATTATATCTCCATAGATTAAACAAAGTAAAAATAATAGATGCAGCATTTGTATATACAGAACCAAGTTCAAAGAGAATCAAGGTTAAATTAACAATTTAGAAGGAAGTATTAAATAATACAAATATGCAATAAGTATAAACTACATGAATAATAAGACATTTATATGTGAATTTGTAGAACATTATTAATAATGTGAAGATTGTAAAAAAGAGTTTACCCCTCATACTTGGGGAGCAGCTGTATAAGTTCGTTAAAGAGTAGATCATAAGAAAACATTCTTTTATTTAGAATAATTGTTATTGAAATATAATGCAAATGATAAAGTGTTGAAAATAGAATAAGTAGATGATGGATTAGATTTCTTTTATAAAACAAGATCACATGCATCTAGATTAGTAGAATATTTATCTACAATATTGCCTATTAGAGTTAAATAATCGAAATAATTAGTATCACATGATGCCAGTTCGAATCTCTTTAATTATAAATATGTTTATGCTGTAGATTTACCTAAAGTATGTAAAGATGATTTAGTTATTCTTCCATTGAAATTATGTAAAGAATTAGGAGGAGTTGGTAGAGTATAATTATGTTATAAATTAACAACGATTGTTCATTTAATAGATCCCTTATCAATGAAATGTTCAGATTTATCTATCGAAGCATTTTCTCTCTATGAAAATGAGATTGAAGTCTATAATCTTAAAACACATTCACATGAATTCACTGTTATTGATGTTGAAAGAATTCATACTAGAAATTTAAATGAAAGTTATATATCAAGTTCATAAAATGCATTCCTACCAAAATTAACTAAATTATCTATTATTAGAGAATCAAATAATTATTTACCTATTACTATTAAAAGTCATTTAGGTGACATACTCAAACCAGGATAAGTGGCTATTGGATATGATTTAACTTAAATGACTATTGAATCTTTAGAAGATATTTCTAATTATCCTGAATGTATTGTAGTTAAAAGATAAATTAATAAGGAAGCTAGAAAATTGAGAATCTTTAAATTGAAAAGATTAGAAGCTTAAAATGTTATGGAAGAAGAAGGAGCAGAAAGAAAAAGAAATAATTGTATTTATTATGAATTAATCTATTTTAGAAAAAAAATTAAATGATTAAGAAGAACAATTTGAAGAATTCTTAGATGATGTTGAAAAAGATAAAGAATTAAGAAAAAATATCAATTTATATAGAGATGAAGAGAAAATTTAAAAATTAAGTAAAGAAGATTTAAAAAAAAAATAAAAAAAACCACCATAATAATCAAAAATAAATGATGATGATAATGAATGGTAAGATGATGATGAGGATGATATTAAATTAGAAGATCTAATGAAAGATCTTAATTTAGAAGATAAGCCTGAATTAGCTTAACCTGTTGATGAAGCCTAAGAAGAAATCAATTAATTTATTACCAAATTAGAAAAAGTAACTATAGAAAAATGATATCTATTCAATCTTATTTATTCAAATTATTAATTATTTCAAATAACGTTTATTAACTATTATATAATTATCTTATCTCTACTTTGCTTTATAAAAACATACCCAAAAATATATCAATCAAACAAATTTCATAATAATAAATGCTTAATATATTCAATTAATTAAACAATATTATTCCATATTAAAATACTTTTTATCTGTTAATTCAAATAATTTATTAATTGAACTTCAATAATAAAAGTTTATTTTTTAATACTATAAATCTTACTAGATTTCAAATTAGAATATTTGTTCAGCTAATTGTCTGTCTATTCAACTTATTTCTTCAAACAGATTATTCTTATAAGATAGATCTATTAATTCGTCTTGGTTCTATTCACTTATCCATAAATTTCTATTAAGAATAATCTCTTTCAACTTTATTATAAGTTGTATAATCATTTATCTATTCTGAAAAGAATTTATATGAACTATACCAAGATGTAATAACATCTTAAAAATACAACCTAAATTACTATTTCAATCATAAATTAAGCTATTATATTTTCATCATACATTTTAAATTATCTAATAAAATTTATAGAGATTTAAAAAATCTATAGGCTTCGTAAACAAATATCACTTTGTATTGTTTTAAGAGTTGATATTACTATAATTTGTTAATTTATATGAAAAATTATTATTACTTGCAGATCTAATAGATATCATATCCAGATTTGTAAGAATAATGTACAGTTGAGTGAATTCCCCTTTACTGCAAATAAAACTTCGATTACATTGAAATTAGTAGATTTAGTTTGAATAACTGAAATTCTTTGGAATGATATAATAAAAGTATTGTAGTTGGGATATACTTTCATCATAAACTGATTTTAAATTTGACAAAAAAATGATTCTTTATGATTATAATTAATTATCTTTGGTTAAAAATAGGAATAATAATTCTTCTTTTAATTTGATTTAGATTTTCAGATATCTTGTTTCATCATATTTAGAATAATTGATTCCAATAATGTACAATTTTTATTCATTTTGTAAATATTATAAATAAAAATATGGTTGTTAAAAAATATGAAGTCTAGCATTAAAAAATTACAGTTTTATAATTTTATAATAATTCTAATAATAATAAGAGTAAATTATTTAGTAAGATTTATTTATCAAAACAATAAATAGGGATTAAATAAACTAAAGAAAATTTTATATGAGTTTACTTGATACTGGTAATAATTATATTTATTTTGGGAAAAGTTTTAATAATTATGAAATATGAAATAATTTTAATTACCCTAAAAAGATATTAAATTGATATAAAGTGGAGACCACTTTTTAGATGAAAAATTTAGTAATAATTTAAATGAAATAATAAATTGGTTTGTTTATATGAAACTTTTAATTAAGCATTAAAGTATTGGCACTTTCGCTTTTCAATATCTCAAAAGATACCTCTTTTTTATTGTTGAAAATTTGAATAATTAAATATCTTGTACTTAAATAGTAAATAAAAGTAAATAGTTGCAACAATGTATGATACACTTTATTTTTTGTTAATTGCATAAAATTGGACTTTATTATTAGCTCATTCTGAAAATTTGTGATTCAAGTCATATACGAATATATATATTAAGTTATAGAATAAATTTGAGGATCTTATATAAGGACTTCACTTTTATTAGAATTGAGAATAACTTAAAATCAACCTATATGTAAAGATTGCATAAAGGTAATTGAATAAATTGAAATTCAAGTTTAGGTCATGAATGATGATATATTTAAAGATTATAACATTATTTGAAATTAGATTTATTTCTCCTTGAGTATTTTGAATCAACCTTAAGATGATACATATGAATTAATCATCAATAATTTCTATTTCCTCAAAAATTTAAAGAATTTCTGAATTTTATTTTTTATTGAAAAATTTCCATATACTTTTATTATAACTGAAATATTTCCAATAAAATTAATTATCATTCTTCCAACACATCCCCTTCCATTCTTTATTTTATAATTATCTTTGGTTTCATTAAAGTTTTTAAAATTTTCATTGTTATTAATTTATAACTATAAGTTAAACATTAATACGGATATGATAATAAACTGTTGAATTATTAGAATTTTATTTCAAAATTACTTTGATTATATTCAGAGCTGTATATAAATTAATATTTTATCAGTAGCAGAAATGATCTCCAAATCAACAAATTTATTGTAATTTTAAAGGATCAATTAATAATAAATTATTTATCTTAAACTATTATCTGATTTAAACTGATTTTTAAAGTCTTTGATTAGGAAAATATTTAGTATTTACTATCATATCTTGATTGCTCAGGTTCTAGCAAAAAATAAAGTAAGAAAAAGTAGCTTAAATTTCTTTGCCTTATTATATAGTATTTTTAATGGTTATGTAAAATTCATTTTTTTCTTTTTGATTTATATTAAAATGTATTTATACAATTAAACGTTTTCATAAGACTTTAATTCTTTAAGAAATCTAATAATTTAAACATATCTTTATAATCTAAAATAGTTAATAATTTTATTAAACTGAATTAGTTAATTTATTCTTATTTGCTATTAATATGTTTCTTTTTTCTATCCAATCAATAATAAATAATCTAGATAAACATCAAAATTGTTTCTGAAGAATTCATTTACAAATTGTAAGAAAATAAAATAATAATGTTTTATAATTAATCAAATCATAAGAGAATTAACGAATAAGATCATTCTAAAATTGTATTATTTATTATTCTATCTTATAAAATTTCTTTCTTAAGACTAATTAACATATATCATAACTTACTTTATGTAATTGATATTAATTGAGTGGATAATTTAGCAATTAGTTTGGCATGTTTTAGTTCGTTATTGAATGAATTTGATAATTTATAGAATTAATATGATTTATAATTGTCTAAGTAAATTATTTCGTTTGATTTAACAAATTACAACAGTAACAAAATTATATTCAATTAATTATGTTTTATAAGGCTTTTTCGGATAAAAAGTGTAGTCCCTCTCCTTTACGTAGATGTTCCCATTATCAGATTCCAAATACATATATTTAAAATATAAGGTAACCCTAAGAGAAATTATTTGAAACAATAGAGAAATAGAGATCATTAAGTGATGAGTAACAGGAAATCTAAAAGTTGTAGTAGGTTATTGAGTAATTGAAGGATGAAAATAACAAATTACGTTTAGGATTACAACAATAAAATCTAAAATTTTTATATGAAACTTAACAGTTAAGTTAGCAGATTACGAATATGCAATCAGAGTAATAATAAATAAAATAGGCATTAATCGATCGAAATAATGAAAAGAATAAGATGATTCAATATATTGATGAACTTTCTAACTAGCATTAGAATCTACAAATCTTATACTAAGATGCTTATTTGCAACTTTAGTAGGCTGAGATATATTCAAATTAAATAATGTTATTGGAGAAAGAATTGAAAGGAAAAGCAGATGAAATTGAAATATTGAAAAATGAACTACAAATTACTACTAATTTCAATATTGAATCGAAAGATAATCAAAAAATATATGATTTTCTTAAAAATGTTAAACAATAAAATGCTGATGGTGAATGCAGATCATTATACTTATGTGATTGATTTTTAAAAATATTATTATAACAAACAATTTTATAAGAGAAGTAAATAAAAAGATTAAATCAATTTTGTTTGCATCTACAAACTGGACAAGAATTGTTCATTCTTAACCATTTTCCAATACAATCTTCATGGAAACCATGATTGCAATTCATCATTGCAATTTGTTCTCCATTTTTGAAATCCTCTTAACATATATAACAAGTTTTCTCTTATTCTCCTTAATGAGTTTATCTCTTCATGTTTTTTATTTGATCTTCACTAGCTCCAACATTTTCATTCTCATTATCATCATTGTTGTAAAATACAATGTGATAAAATACTCTCTATATTCTAAGAGGTTATTGATAGATTTGATATTGTTTTGGGTGATTTTATTTGGTAATTATTTGTTCCAATACACATCCACAATTTTAACAGAATTATTCTTAATTTAATTATTCACCTTCTAATCGACTACGAGTCTCTTTTTAACATAAATGACACCAATAATTTTTGAAAGCAACTTAATATTAGTATAAGCTTTGATTCATTCTGATATTTATTTAATAATTCTATAAGATTCATGTTGGATTGCTTTATAAAATATATTTTAGTAAATTCTGGAAAATAGAAGTTTTTATAAAATTCTGGAAATAAAAGTGAATTATAAATGTAGAATAATTTAGAAATATTTTAATAATTATTGATTTATATAAAATAATAATGTGTATTAATAAATATAAAATAAAATGATGATTATAATGCCAACCTACAAAAATAATTTGGAAGTGTTAATAAAGCAAGATTTGAAATAAGGTATGGGTTTAATCGATCATGAATAAACAGAGAGTTTTCATGTATGGAAGTTTCGTGGTGGTTCGACAAATATTTATGAAGAAAGTATAATCTCTTCATATAGACAGATTCAGTTTATTATGAGAGTAATGATAATTAGCCTAACAAAAAGTATCTAGTTAAGGTGAATAAATAAGGTAAATAATTTGTTTGAAAGAGTAAAAATAGGAAATCAATATGAAATCATGTTAGTTTAACCAACATTTATTGTAGTTAAGGATATTAAATCAGTAAGTGGATCAGAATATCCGATCATGGCTAATTCAATAATACGTTTAGGAAGAGTGTATATATATTAATGATATCTGTTAGTGAATATAGAGTGATTGAAGAGCGTAATAAATAGATGTAAATAACATATGCAGAAGTAAAGAATTAGGAATCATTATAATAAAATGATATTAATAAGATATATTAATGCAGATTCTGTTTTATGGAAGGCAAATAGAGTAGAGATTAATTGTTTCTAACTAATATTTGCAGATGTGTAGGAAATAGTTAGGCTGTACATTTAGAATGTATGAGATATTGGGTAGATTCTAATATTACACGTGAAGAGACACAATTTGGATTATCTTTAAAATGGTAAATCAACATATCATTATACATAGGAATAAATAACATGAATGTTCTATTTGCAAATAAACTTTACCAGTAAGAGTTCAGTATGAGAATGAGTATTTCGATCTATTCACTCTTGAAAGACCATAATTCTAATACATCTTAATTGAAGTAATACAATTTTAGCATAATCAAATTAAGAATGTCAATAAGGAAAAGAATGTCTTTGGTGAGATCTATCTGATACATGCTCTCTTATAAGACAATATAAAACTAGTAATTCTTTGATCAGCTATCAAAAAGGGCAGAGGTTTATAATGTGACATCAAAGTCCAAGATATAACAGTGTCTCGACATCATGCCACAATCAAATTATCATAAGACAACTTTGTCATCGAGGACAATAAGAGTAAATTTGGAACCTTAGTTTCAATTAATAAAATCTGTTATCTTGATTGTATTTCTTGCACTCTTCAAATTGGCAAATTATTAATCAATCTTATTCAAACAGATTATATTCATAAAGGTATATAAATCATCTCTCATTTAAGGAGCACCATCAACTCAACACAAATTGACTCAACTACCATAAATTAGTAAACAATTAGAAGAAGATGAACCATAAATGGATGATGACTCATTTCAATTAGAAAATTAATGACTTCTATTTTTTAATTATATATATATATCTTTTATTTAAATTTATATTTTTAATTAAAAATTTATTAATACTATTTATACATTTTTCCATTTTACTTCTAACAATCCTCCAATCTAATCAATTGCTCTTTAATTCTAATTCAATATTGTTCCCAATTAATCTATCAATTCTCTTACTTTTTATTACAATTCTTAAATTATTTCATAGTAAAACTGTTATTCATTTTTCCATTCCTTCAAATTCGAATTTTATTTATTTACATTTATGAAGTTAGCAATATTTTATCCATAATTCAACAAAAATTTTTAATAATCCTCATTAATTATCTATACTTAATATTTAATTTCTAAATTCAATTTATTTGAATAAGATTACTTCATCTCTCCATTTCTATTATAACAATTCAATTAATTTTTTACTTTCCTATTCAAATTATTTATTTACATCTCCCATTATTTTAATTTATTCCTAATTCTTTTTTGTTATATAAATACTTATTTTACTTTTATATATAAATTTATTCCCTCCAATCATTTTACTGTATACTGAAATTCTATTCTTTATTTTATTATTGTAATAAGACTATTTCTTATTCTAATATGATAATGATATCATTTTGCTATTCGTATTATTGCTACAATTATCTTTACTCATTACATCGTTAATGTTATATATGATTTAAATTTTCATTCTCTTCCAACATTATATTAATTTTATCTAACCAAACTCTTTCACTAACTTGTATTCTCTCTAATTATAAACATTTTAACAAAAATTTTTATGCTAATTATACAAATTGATTGAGACTCAATTAATTACTAATTAATAATCGAATTCTATTCAAATTTCAATTTTTTCTCTTTCATTGAGTATTTATTACAATTCCAAAATTTACAAAAATTGTTGGTAATTTATTTTTTTATATTGCTTTTCAGTTTATTAGAATGATTTTATTTCTCTTTANACAATAAGAGTAAATTTGGAACCTTAGTTTCAATTAATAAAATCTGTTATCTTGATTGTATTTCTTGCACTCTTCAAATTGGCAAATTATTAATCAATCTTATTCAAACAGATTATATTCATAAAGGTATATAAATCATCTCTCATTTAAGGAGCACCATCAACTCAACACAAATTGACTCAACTACCATAAATTAGTAAACAATTAGAAGAAGATGAACCATAAATGGATGATGACTCATTTCAATTAGAAAATTAATGACTTCTATTTTTTAATTATATATATATATCTTTTATTTAAATTTATATTTTTAATTAAAAATTTATTAATACTATTTATACATTTTTCCATTTTACTTCTAACAATCCTCCAATCTAATCAATTGCTCTTTAATTCTAATTCAATATTGTTCCCAATTAATCTATCAATTCTCTTACTTTTTATTACAATTCTTAAATTATTTCATAGTAAAACTGTTATTCATTTTTCCATTCCTTCAAATTCGAATTTTATTTATTTACATTTATGAAGTTAGCAATATTTTATCCATAATTCAACAAAAATTTTTAATAATCCTCATTAATTATCTATACTTAATATTTAATTTCTAAATTCAATTTATTTGAATAAGATTACTTCATCTCTCCATTTCTATTATAACAATTCAATTAATTTTTTACTTTCCTATTCAAATTATTTATTTACATCTCCCATTATTTTAATTTATTCCTAATTCTTTTTTGTTATATAAATACTTATTTTACTTTTATATATAAATTTATTCCCTCCAATCATTTTACTGTATACTGAAATTCTATTCTTTATTTTATTATTGTAATAAGACTATTTCTTATTCTAATATGATAATGATATCATTTTGCTATTCGTATTATTGCTACAATTATCTTTACTCATTACATCGTTAATGTTATATATGATTTAAATTTTCATTCTCTTCCAACATTATATTAATTTTATCTAACCAAACTCTTTCACTAACTTGTATTCTCTCTAATTATAAACATTTTAACAAAAATTTTTATGCTAATTATACAAATTGATTGAGACTCAATTAATTACTAATTAATAATCGAATTCTATTCAAATTTCAATTTTTTCTCTTTCATTGAGTATTTATTACAATTCCAAAATTTACAAAAATTGTTGGTAATTTATTTTTTTATATTGCTTTTCAGTTTATTAGAATGATTTTATTTCTCTTTATAATGATTACAATAATACATCATTTATACATTGATAAGTATTAATTTTTTGATTCTCTTCCATCAAATTTATGACTTTATTTTATAAATTAATTAGGGTGTGTTGTTCTTTAGAGTTATTTTTTCAACTGAAATCTGAGACTTACGAAAGTTGACTGAAAAAAATTATTTTCTTTAGTTTCTGAGACTCTTTTCTTATTTACAGTATCAACAATTGATTGATTGTTTGACAATTATCTAGTAATTTTTGAACGATTAGATAGCATTGAATATGAACGTTATTTTGAATTCTCATTACTAACAGAAACTGGATTTTAATTATCAATTATATATATGCATTGTAATTCTAATTTGTCTTCAGAATATAATCTTTGAGATTCACTATATTTGATTGCTGAAGAGTTGACTCCTGAATTTAAATTAATTGATCTTATAACACCTTATGATTATAAAGAGTTCAATATTGATTGAGTAAAGTATTTGAAATCTGATATCGAAATACTCTGTAACATGTTTCGAATTTAAATTATATATAAATATATAATTATAAAAATGTTAAAAACCTTTAGGTTTTGTACAGAATTCACAACCACTCAATTCCTAAAACTCAGCAATCTTCAATTAAGTGTAAATAGATTATAATAATCAATTTCAAGATATTGAATGATAAGATTGAAAATTTTGAGAATGTGGAAACATCATTATCAGATGGTGTTCTTAATGTGAATTTACCTAATGGAAAATCCTTTGTTATAAATAGACAGACTCCCAATAAATAATTATGGTACTCATCTCCTATCAGTGGTCCTTAACGATTCAATTACATCAATGGCAAATGGCTCAATGCTAAATAAGTTGAAATTGAGAATTAATTGCTAAGTGAAATTAATTTATTAATATGAATACATAAATTTGAATATCAAAGTTCTAGGAGTTTCGAAAGTACTTCACGAATAGGTTTCGATCTAGGTCTGATCATTTAAACTAATTAGATAGCCTATTCAAGAGAGTAATTCAAATCCTAAACCATGTAAAGAATGATAGTTTAAACACTCCTTTGAATCCCATCAGTACAATGTACATACACGCATTTACCTTAATCCAACAATTTTTTGAGGATCTAATAAGCATGCATTCCATTTTCTAAATAGGATCTCTTATTGCAATCTCGGATTGGACAATGCATATATACGATACCTAGTGATTGACTTTGAGATTAAAGTAAATGGAAATAATCTGGAGGTAAATCCTTGTTAATTAAATCTTCGACAGTCTATAAGTTTAGTATGGCATTAACACCTAAGTCTTATAGAATGGTGATTTCACTATTATATAAAATTAAAAATTACTCAATATAAATAAATGAACCAACGTATAAGTTTTAAAAAATAGGATTGTAATTAAGATTGAAATCGACAGCAGAGTCAGTCACATGTATAACATTGTTGATGATAGGATGTGTATGGATCATTCGTGCAGGTCCTCTTTCCCATTTATGATTGGATTGGTATTTATAGGCAAGTTGATGAATGGATTTATTGGGGATGAGGAAATTAGATGTATATTGATCATCAGATGAAATAATGGGAATCTTTTGTCTTCCATTATGTGTATAGAGATGTAGTGTAATGTTAGAATCAAGATATGTAATGAATTTGAGAGTGATACGAAGATGACCCCAAATATCATGATGGAGATCTTGATGAGAATTGAAGATTCTATTAATTCCATCTTCCCATTCAACAATTTGTCTATTGTCTTACTTAACAACTACATAACGATAGTTGATAGGTAGACAACATGAATCTAATGTGGCAGTCCAAATATCATTTTGATTCCATTACATTTAAATTCCATGCGAAACATTCCATTATATTTTGTGACAATCACCTACAATTAAGATCACTTCACCATAATTGACATGTTTTTGAACAGAAATCATAAATTAAATTAATAATCTTTTTAATATATGCATATGTACGTATATTAATACTCAACTAAATTACCAATTACCTGTGCTATCTAATTATTCTAGATTAATTCCTTCACCATACCCAATATATCCTAGATCAGTGAATGATCGATCAATAATTCTATGATCAACATATTTACCTTATTTATTAGGTATTATATCTACTTCTGGACTTAATGAGATTGATCCTTCATAAGATCTAGTTGATGCCTATCAAAATATAATAATAAAAAGTACTCTTCTATAATTGACTAATAAAGTAGGCTGAATTCCATCGCAAATCTATCCCTATTCTAATTCTTCTTATTCATAATTAATCTTTTTCTAAGCTGTAAAGATATGATATTCTTCTTCACTCATCTTATGTCCGCTATCTGTTTTCTGTTTAAACCATCCTGAAGGTGGAATAAACTCTCTAAAATTTTAGAATTGAAAAACTTAATCTATATATCTCTTTAAAACCTATTCACTACTCACATTACAACACAACTCTCTCTTTAAAGTTTCTTAGGCAGTGGTTCTATACTCTGGCATCTGATGTAACATAGGTAACATAAATGAACAAAATGACAATGCTTCCTATACTTTGAATCTATATTTCTCAGTTAATACATTATATAAATTCCAATAATGTAATTATTGAATTCTCTTCATTACCCCATTTTGTGAAAAGTAACGCTTCGTTTATTATTAATTTAATACTTTTGCCTTTGCCCCTCTAGTTCCATACTCATAAGGAAATTTACCTAATAATTCTTAGATCTATGCTAAATGATCTTCATTCTTTGAAAAATTAGGTCCTTATCTAGGTTCAAATAAATAATCTCCTGTTAACATTTCAAAAATCATGCATGCAAAACTCCAAATATCTGCTGTTGGATTATATTTAATTCCCAGTAATACTTCTGGAGATCTATATTACCTTGTTTAAATTAATGTTGAAAAATGATGATGAATCCAACAAGCATTTCCTAAATCTGCAATCTTTACTCTAAAATTATCAGGTAAAGGTTTCTAAGTTTTAAATGATATTCTATATTTATAATATACATAATTACTTCTTTTATTTATCTTATTTAAATAAATCCTTAATTGATTTTGGTATTTCCTCCTCCTCCTATTTTACAATCTCCTTCTCTTTCTATTTCTTCTTCTTCTTTCTCTACAACTTTCTTCTCTATGTCTTACTCATACATGTCTCCTCTTCTTCTGAATCTTCTTCCTTCTACTCTTCCTTCTTCTATTCTTATGATACTAACCCTAACATCTTTCTATATATATGAATTCTATCTGAAAATTCCTAATTTGATGACAATTAACCATTCTCTACTATATCCTTTATCTCCTCATCTGATAAACATACAAGCACATTCTCTGGCTTTAAATCTGTGTGAATCACTCCACAAATCCTATGTAAGTAATCCAAACCTATCAATATCTATTTACCCATCTTTCGTACCACATCCATTGGACACTTAATTTTACATTCTATTTTCATACCCCTTTATAATTGTATCGTTTTATTATCTCCAATAAATTCACTCCCAATATCTCAAAAACCATACAAAAATGATGTCCATAAGGTCCCTTGTATACAAATGAATTTAACAACTACACTGTGTGAGTATCGTCTCGATTGAAGTGTGTTCTACCCTCCTTTTTTCAACTATTCAATCAAACTCTTACCTCTGCATAATATTCTTTTAATGAGGATATCCATACAGGATTTTATACATTCTATGCTACTTTCTGCAAAATCTCTACCTAATCAAAATATTACAAACCATGCTTTACTTCATCATATGCTGCCTCTAAATAATGTGATGCACTCTTCTATATCTTTAACGCCACATATGTGTCATATTTAAAATCCTTTGCTAACCAAACAGTTGAAAAATGACCCCAACCCAGTTTCTGGATTATTACATAACGATTCAGCAGCACTTCTCCTACATGAACTGGATGATATCCTTTCTTTTAGTCATATTAAACCAACCTCCTATCTTATAATCTTCCATGCCTTCATCTTCACTGTCATGCTCTTAGTTTAGTAGATCCATTAATTCTCCTATCTATTCGTTACTCACTTTTCAATTATCAATAATTCTTACCACCACTTGACATTTTTATAAATATTTTAATATTTATGAGACATAAATCAAATGAACATTCTGTTGGATAAGTAAGCAATATCTTAATACCAGAATAATAACCATTTTAATTCAAACCACGTTTCTCTAAACATAAGAATTTTTATGCTAAATAATCAAATTTTGAGTTGCATTATATTACTCCTACTCAACAATATGCCAAAAATATACTTGATAAGATATGTCATGTAGATAAGAAAGCTTTAGTAAATGATCGACCAGAATCATCTTTTTAAAAGCGCAAACATTTTTCAGTGGGTTTGTGTTATAGTTCAAGACCATCCATTTAGAAAAAACAAATTAGAATCAAATAAATTCCTCATCCAAATATTCAATCTAATTTTTCATTTAATCTCAAAATATGTGATAAAGATTGGTTAGCCTTTGTATTAGATTGAATTTACTGTTATTTATTACATATTTCAAACATCTTATTAATATTACAAATATTCATTTATTTAGTTGGATTTCTCTTTTTATTACTAAATTGCTATCACTATAATTGAATTTCAGAAATACTTTATTTTTGAATCAAATTATAGATATTGAAATGACTCTAAGACTTAAATGGTTGCAAATAGGATGAATATTTTTTTATATTCTTTGAATTTACTATTCCGTATATCTGAATAAGAAGAATTAAATACCATAATGTCTTAATAAAGAGGAATCTTAAGGATTTCATAATCAATTATTGAATAACAATATTCTTATTTGTAGTTCAAATAAAAATCTTTTTATAGAATAACTGTAAATTTGATAGTATTGATTAGAAATGTTATTAGAATATATAAAAGTTGAATAAAGATCAATTATAATTACCATACATCTCTAAGCACAGTTAGTTGCAAACTGTTTCATATTTTTTGAACTACATATTTAAAGTAAAATAATTTATTGTTTGTATGAAACTGATGCTTTTTATAATGCCATCATAAATGGTTCTCACTTTACTAGATACTGGGATTTTATTATATTACAGCAGAAGTTATATAATAGTAACCATTTTTTTAATAAGTATTTCAATATCAGATCAGAACTCTAGATTGATAATTCATTCCTCCTATTTTTTGTATTTAATCTAACTCATTGTTGACAAATTCTCACTCCTATTCATTATTTAAAAAAGTCTTTTAATTAATATATTACAATTAATTCACTTTTCATTACATTCAAGAAAATATTGGATATTTAATGATATCATTATAATTTCTAAAATTACTTTATTATTTTAATATTTATATAAATATATTTATCAATACAGAGAATGTCAAAAGCACTTATTTTTTGCAAATATTTCTCCTTTATTATTGATTTTAAATATATATTAGGAAATAAACCTATCTCAATTCAATACTGCAAAGTAATCTGTTATTGCTAATTTTTCATATTATTTACTGCTTTTCAATATAATAGGAATGCAGATAATAGAGTTAATTTTTGAATTCGTATGGAATCATAACTATTGTCTACTTAAATGTCATTCAGTTTAATCTTATTTATTAATTTAGTAATACAATTTTTATAACTAAATTCTGTTAGCTGAAAGAAGTCGATCATAGTCTAAGAATTAATCAAGAATATCAAATTGTTATTTTAATATTTGTTCAAAATAATCATTAAACAAATTTAACTTAAATATACTTCAGTTTTCCCCCTTCTTTTTGTATCTAGACTCTATTTTAAAGGATAATGAATTTCAGATTTTAAAATCTATTTATTAATTGAATAAACTGGAAACAATTGATAGAGATTCTTAAACTTAAAAATTGTACAATTCACACTGTTTCTAAATTTAAACATTCTATATAATGTAATACTAGTGCTATTTATACAGATATTAAATTGAATAATCATTATAACCATTTACATTTAACTCATAAAAATTATTTGTAATACAAAAATTAAATAAATTTATTGCTATGTAATGCAAGACATTAGATAAAGTTATTTCAAGTTTAGATTATTGAGGGTTCATGAAATCTTATAAGAATAAGCGCGTATTACCACAGGAAGATTAAAATTATTTCTTCAAATACAAAACACATAATCTCAGTAACTTTAATAATTTTATTTATTAAAACAAAAGGAAATAAATACTTATAAATTCTATAAAACTACTACTAAAACTTCAGTTCATAAAATAACAAATTGATATCATAAATTATTGGCTAAATAAAATAGGATTCATATATAACTGAAAAAAATAACTTAGATTTTTTTATTATATAATAAAAACTATTTTACTATTATTAATTATTAAAATAGAAAATGAAATAAATTCCCGGTTTGAAACATGATGGATCATATTTGTTAATTATAAAACATGATAAAAACAAGGCAAATTATGTTTGTGATGAATGTTGTCTTGAATGGGAAGAATAATAAATTAAGGATGAATTAGTAAAATTAATTCATATAAAGAAGGTATATTTCATATATATTTATGAAAGGCATTTAGATCCCAGAATAAATTATTTAAAAACTTAATTTGTTACCTTACCTCTCGGAGTTTTTTACCGATTTAGATAAACATGATGACAAAGCCATGAATAATCTTTTAATTGAATTCTAGACTAAATGTTAAAATATATAAGATGCACTATAAGCGGTGTATAAAGAATTAGAATAAAAGATAAAATGCATTTTAGAAATGAAATATAAAATTAGGGAATAATTAAAAACAGATTTATTTTAAAAAATTATAGATTATCAAATTTGATTAATTTTAAGAAATTACGATTAATCTTGAATAATTGGGAGATTCGATTAATTAATAAGCTATAGAATAAAATGAAAAGATTCTCCATGAATATTTATAAGATCTTACAAAAAATGATTGTTAAGAATTGAATAATTCTATAATTGATATGCTAGATCGAATAAAATAAGAACCAAAAGATTCAAAAGAGGAATAATATCCTCAATACAGAAAATTAGAAGAATAAATTAAATAACTTACACTTTATCAACACAGTTTTATGTAAAAAATAAATTTAATATGCTTTTTTTAATTTGGTGGAAAATTAATGTCATATTAATAATCATAAAAAATCATGAATATCATTTAAATTCATAAAAAAGTAATAAACTTTTCACAAATATATTTGGGAACTAGAGATGGATTATCTGCATAAGCTTTTTGGAATAAAGTTAATGGAAAATCTAATTTATTAATGGTATTCAAATCTAAAATGGGATATATTTTTGGTGAATTTTCACCTTGTAAATGACAATCAAATTTGAATAATCATATTTATGATTATACAGTGTCATCATTTTTATTTTCATAGACTTACGATTAAATTTATCCATTAATTGAAGATAAAAACAAATATGCGATATATTGCAATTATTAATGTGGGCCTTGTTTTGGTGGTAATTATAATCGTGATTTAAATATTGATGGAACTTTTAAAGGTTGCACTTCAAACTTGGGGGATTCTTATAGGCATAATCAATATTAGAATGTTCGTCATAATACACAGTTATTTAATTAAGCTACAGCAGATATAGTAGAATGTGAAATTTATTAAGTAACATTTGCTTGAATGAATAAAATAAAGTATTTGATAAAAATTATTATATACCTTTATTAAATTAATAATAATCGATTAATTTAAATAAATAAATAATTTTACATTTAGACTTTTTTTAATTAATATTCTTAACTTTTGTTTCATTTCCATTCCCTAGAGTAAATTGATTAATAATAAAAATTTATTTATTTAAATTTTATCATCATTTACTATTTTATAAAATCTGAAAATACAATAATTCTCATTTGCTATATATTCTCAAATTTCATATCAAAATAATATTCTTTTATATATTATACTATAATTTTGATAATATAATATTTTCTTCCAAAAATTTATAAATACAATTTTATATTCTTTTAATCTAATTGATACTAAATTCATAATTATGCATAAATCATTCCAAAATTCTTAAAAAATGAATTTAAACTATGATTTCCATGCCTTTATTACTAATTTTGAAGAATACAATATTAAACACAAAAACAGTCCCTTAGATACTTACTATTATTTCAAATATTGTAATTTATTTTAATTTTTATCTTTCATCATAATTCAAACTTTTAATTAAATGATACTACTCTATTTTTTCATTTCCCAATTATCTTATTTTGTTCATCTCATACCTAAATACGAACAATAGGTTCTAATTATTTGTAAACGGTTTGGATATTATTGAAAACTACTTTCAATAATACTCTTGTTAGTATAATATATATAATCCATTTTAATTTAATAGGTAAATTTAATTTACCTAATAATATTTCATAAATATTAAATGATAATAATAATATCAATTTTACAAATCAACTTCCATTCTTATGAGATCGTTCTAAACTACAAGATAAAACTTGAATTAGAATTTTATAACTACTCTAATATCCCATGTCATTCAATAATCTAGGTCTCTCGTAGTTCAAGAATAGCACCTGTTCTTCCTTTTGTTAAAACAAGGATTAGTTGAAATCTATCTGAAATCTAATCAAATTAAAAAAAATTGAGAATGAAGAATTTCATATATCTTAAACATTCTTAAAATCATTTTGTAAACTTTATTCACCCATAGAATGATAAAAATTGGGATAGTTGCACTAATCTTTTTTTCAAAATATTCTTTTGACATAATTATATGCATATTCATCTTATGATTGGACTCATTTATAAAATGAAATCTTCTGATGATTCCGATCATAGTAATATATAGTATAGGTTTGGATAAAAATCTATTAATTTGTCATTATATACAATTGTGTAAAAAAATAAAATTTAAATTATTTGATGGGATGCATTGGTAGTCGACCTTAGAATGATGAAAAAAGAACATCTAATGATCTATATTTGCTTTTGGATTAATTGGCAGAAGGACAATTTGTTGATACAATCATCATCAATACTTCTGTTTATAACTATTGTTATATTAAGTAGAGAAAGTAATGGATTTCTAGAAAGAAGAGAATAATAAAGAGTGTTGATAAATTGATGAATAGCAATCTATAATCTAGAAATTATATTCATTCATTTTTAGATTCACATCCAGAATCAATAATTTTGTTAAGACCTCTTCGAAATTTTAAACCTGTATTTACTTAAGTAACAATACACACTGCCTTAATGAAAAATGATTTCTTTCCCTAATAAATATTTGTAAATTTTTTGGATCAAACATAATCCTAATTGATGAATTTCAGCAATAATGGAAAATACACATTTTTCCTGCAATTGTAATTATAGAAATTGTCAAGTTTAAAGCAATTTTACAAATTTTAATAAATTCTCACTATTAAAATTTCCAAAATATTTAAATTTGTTCAATTAGAATTTTATGGTTTGATAGATTGGAATTCAACACAAAAATAAGCAGATTTATAAAAATTAAAAAATAAATATGGATGGAAGATGAAATTCATTGATATTAGTTCAAATATACCTGAACATCATTAGTGTATAATTATCAGAGACTATTTTAGATTTTAATTCTCATTAAGTATTTCATATTGAAGAATAAACAAAAGAAGATTTATTTGTAATTATTGATCCACAAGGCTAAGTCATTAGAGCAGAAATTCCTGAATTTTATGTATCCAAAAAACCAGATGAAATCAGTTAAGAATTTGATGATATTAGTTCTTAAAAATCAAAATCAATTAAATATGAGAGGAAGTTGTTGAAAGAGTTACATCTTCATTATTCATCATATATCAGCAAGAATAAACCTTAAATTACTAAATCAACACTAACTAAATATTAAATAATGCAATAATAAATATTTTAGTCAAGTGAAACAATAAGTTAAGTATAATACAAGGATTTCAAATAACTGTTTAAGAGTTCTCGTTTGTTATAAATCTTATCTAGATATCATCCAGGTGAACCATTTTAATTTGAACTCATTAAATAGATTTATTTTAATTATGATTATGATGAACATAAATTCAAAGAAATCACTAAGACATATTTATTGCCTTCAATTTATCCAACAGCTTCAATCCAAAAAAATAAAATACTTACAGAAATATGTAGAGAATTAATGGAGTCTATTGGATTAAGATGGAAAGTATTATTTATACATTATTCTAGAACCCAGACTTACATTTATATTCAATACCTTACACTTATACATTCAACAAAATATATTTAATGGAATTCCTTTAAGATTTCACTTAATAGTTCACTTTCTAATTATAATTATTCTTAATAAAAAGGAGAACTATTGAATGGTAGATAAATTATAAATCTGATAACAAAATTATGAAGCTTAAAGAAGAAGAAAAAGTTGAGTGGACTAATTAATTAAATGATTCATTTGTATTTTAGGATATGTATGAATTACACAATAAATCTATTGTTATCAAAAATTTAGATGATTTAAAATTATTAAAACAATAATAGGAATAGTAACTAATATAATTTAAATTAATTAAAACTTAGAAACTATGTAATAAAAGTATGAATTTAATAAAGAAATATATCTATCATCGAATTGATTATCAAATATAATTAAATGAGAAAGTTATGGATTTTGATGAATCCATCAAAATTACTATGAATTCTATTCTCTTTATTTTGTATGACGATTTTGAAAAATAAATTCTCATTATCTTAAATAAATTGGCCTCAATATAAGATCAATTCTTAGAACCAATGAATATCATAATAATTACTTAATTAGAAAATGTTAATAATACTATAAATGATTTTAATGCTTTACAGATTCAAAGATTATAGATATAATTTTGTAATGTTAATTAAGCCTGGAATTTAAAAACTGGATTATTATTTAAATAAGACTTAGTTGAAAAGTACTTTAATGTAAAAAGAGAATATAAAGCAGTAAAATATGTTATGATAAATGTTAGTTTTATGTAGATAAATTTGGTTATTTGATGGCAATTCAAACGAGTGATGAATTCATAAATAACATATAGAAAAAAAATTAGAATAATATTGTTGTAGATTGGTTCATTCAGCAATTTGGGTATTTATGAAATAATTACTATTTAAGAATGACAAACAAGAATAATGATTAACAATGGAAATTAATTAAACAAGAGTGTTGTTAATTTAATTAGAAATATGAAGAAATTATGAGTAGTTATGAAGTACCAAAAGAAATGGTAATAACAATAAAATCGATAAAATGTTTATTGTGGGACAGTCACAATCATAGTTTTGAAGAGTATTCAAATTGTGCAACAATTACTCAGAACTTAAACTCAGTCTAAAAAGCTTAGTTAAACATTTTCATACCAAATATAATAAGACTAATAATTTGAATAGCAAAATCTTAAAATAAATAAAAATCATCATCCTACTTAAATTTTTAAAGGCATTACAATATTTTTCTATCTTCTCTAACTTTGATCAATCTTAGAATGTCAGTACTATTGATTTCTCAAGCAATAACAGAATTAAATCAAACATAAATTAGAAGAATTGATAAAATTTCTATTATCACTAAATTTTGTACCAATCAAAAGTAGTTTTGTATTGATATCATATCTTCATTATTAAAAGCTATAACTCCCATTGAAATTCTTTTCTTTTTTCCTGGCTCCATATACAAAGCATCAATAGGTACTAAATCAAAAGTATCAGATAATCGATGATCATTATAGTATTCATTTTCTTCAAAATTTTCTGAATCTTAGAAAGTTGCAAACTGTTGTTTTTCTTATAATTTAGGAAGCTTTATTTATTCAAATACTATAAATTTGAAATGGGTCATTCTATTATTGTAAGTAACTATTTCTGAATCAATTATGAACCAATATATGATATCTTAAAGGTGTACTTACTTAATAATAAGTTAAATAGTTTTATTCACATATTATTATTAGTAGTTATAAATTACATTTTTGAATATTTAGAATTATCATCTAAATGAATTTTATAGGTTTACATGTTACTCTTGGAATAATGTGAAATAATTCAAAAGTATTTCATATAAATTTTGAAATAAAGTCTATAATTATTGAGACATTAAAATAAGTATTAATTGTAGTAATTGCCATGAATATTTTATTTTTATATATTTGAAATACATATTTTTTTCTAATACTCTTGTAAATGCAATTTAATGATTAGTAAAAATTATTTAATGAAGTTTACATGTTTATTCTTGTAACAGAGTATTAAATACTAACATCATTTGAAATTCCAATTCTTCTTTAATCCCTAAAAATATAGAGATATTTATTTTTCTTTATTTGTTATTTATATTTGGATAATTTCTTTAAAAGTATTCATTAATTTGTCGAATAATTGATTGAAATACTTGTTAAGATTAGTTAATCATAGAGATATAGTTTTACATAAAGTTAAGGAGTAGTAATTAAATTATAATTATTAATATATTTATTATGGCTTCCTATAAATCTATTTTAGATGGTCTTCTTGAATCTGTGTCAAATATTGTTGTTGGTAAAATAAGGACATTAAAATAAACATTCAATGATTCATCTTTAAATAGATTACCTGCTAGTAGTGATACAAAGTTATCATTACTTGGAACAAAATAATTTCAATTGATTGCTAATCAAGTAGAATAATCAATGTAGAGTATTTCTGTATTTTATTATTCAAGAATTACTTAATGAATTTAATCAAGACTTAGAAGAACAATATAAACATTAAATCAATAAATAATATTAAAGACCGTTAACTGTAAATCAATATGTCTATACTAGGGTACAAATGGTTAAGAATGTTAGAGAGAACAAATAAATGAAGAATAAGAAAAAGGACTTGTTATTATGTTTCATAATAGACAATAAAATGATGGTGAAACCACTCTTAAAGTATTTATTATTCATTTAAGACAGTTCAATAATCTTAAAGATTTCTTATATTATGATAGTAAAAAGGTTAAATAAGTGTTAAATCTATCAATTGAATTTAAATCATAAGGTATATCAATTAAATTAATCAATAGGTATGACTGATAATAATATGGAACATTTTATGAAAAAGTTTATACAATTTTATAACATTGAATAATTAAAACTAAACTTAGGATGGTAGTTAATATTTTTATATTAGTAATTCATTGACAGTTATAGGTGCTAGATAATTAGCTGGTTGTTTCACTAATTTAAATCGTTTATCCTTTATGGATGTATCACTTTATAATAATAAAATTACTTGGGAAGGTATTGATGCTTTAATGCATGCTTTTAAACATTTATATAATCTAAAAGATTTAAATTTGGATGTCTCTTGTAATCCTATAGGAAATAAAGGATTTGTTATTGTATCTAAAGCCTTACCTGAAATCAGAAGATTACGAAAACTATGGTTATCAGCATATGATATTGGAATCAATGATGAATCTTTCAAAATATTTAACAATGAATTTTCTAAATTACCTCCATTGTTGATTGCTAAATTTGATTTTAAAGTGTAATTAATTAAATTAACATTTTATCTAGTAATCCTTTTAATAAGAAATTGGTTTCTGATTTGTAAAAGATTATTCACGAAAAAAAAATTAATAATTACGAGATTTTAGTATGATTATTTATAATATATAATTATAATTTTCTATTATATTATCTAACCTTATACTAATATTAAAAGTGTTAGATACTTATACTATTGCATTTATTCTATTAGCTTATTAAATATTTAATTATACATACTTTATCTTTCTTACTAAAATCAAGTGCAAACTATGCAAAATTCTTTATTTTCGTATTATTGAAAAATTAGAATATTTAATATTTAGAGTATTCTAATTAAGATGATTATAATGGAATATTTAAAATAAACTATTAATTATATTTATTAATCATGGTATATATTCTTTAAACAGGGTTTCTAATAATTAAATAGGATCTTTGAATTCTTGAAATCTATCGAATTTCAAATATTGCTAATTAAACTATCTTACATCTTTAGCATATTTGATAGCCATTAAATAATTTTATAAATATAATAATTCCTAATGTTAAATAAATTAGATTGATACTTGATCAGATTTATTATCATAGAAATTAAGAATGGGAATACCATTTAATGGTTAAATACAAAATGAATATGCAGCATTATCTACTAAAACTAGATCAGATAATAGTCTATTTCCAATAACTCTAGCAAAAACAATTAAGGATAATACCTTAGATCTTTAATATATGCACCTTCTTCAGTTTATACACAACTTTCTCTAAAGAACCGATGTGATATCCATTATTTAGTTGGATCTAAATAATCAATAACAACATTAGCATAACAAGAATGTGAAGCTGTAAATACAATTAATTCGAAATGCCTACTTAGTGTTTATAAAACTTATTAAGCATAAGGTCTAATATTAATTGATGCCTAATAATATATATTATATCATATATACTTCAATTACATCTCCTGTAGGAAATCTTATAGGTAATATTACATCACCTGGTACTTTTATTGATTCATTACAATGAATTAGAGTTTCATCTAAATCAAACACTATCGTTTTCTTTAACGATATAGATGGAAGATTCACTCTCTTCTCCTCATATTACTAAGAATTCATCATCTTACTATATTAAGCAGCTGATATTGATTAAACTAAATGCTCTCTCACTTATTATATTGCTTTTGTTATTTCTGGTGTCATATAACATCTTATTACGGAAGATATATAATATAGAAATTAAGTCTCTGATCTTGTTGATCTTTCTCTATGATTATTTGTAAATGCTATTCTCTAATTTAATCCTTTAGCTGATTCGGGATGAATTTATATTATCTTTTAAACACTTACTTCATTACTCATCTTCTATTATGTCACAAATGTTGATAATGATGGTTTTTTATTCATATTATCATTCTATAATCGAGGATCATTTACTAATGTATTTGACTTTACTTTATTTTACATTTAATTCAAATCAATATCATTCTTACTTATCTTTGGGATGTTTATCTTCTACTATTATTACTATTATTAATCATTATTTTTTGTATTGAAAAATCTTGATGCTAAACTTTATTTTGTTTATCTTTAACTATTATCAATATGAGTTTTTATATTTATGATCTTTTACTCCAAATATGACAATTTATCTTATAACTTTCTATATTCAAACATGTCCTTTGTATTCCCCTTCCTATTACTATTCTCTTATTAATTAGATCGTATTTCCATATTCTCTTTTTAATGATTATTTTATTATTTGCTCAATTAAGTTGAACTCTTCATTTGACCTAATTATTTTATTTAACTAGCTGAACTTGCTCTCGATTATTCTCCTATATACCTTCCTAAATTCTTTTCAGATAATGGTCTTCTCATTTCATACATGTGAACGGTAAAATTTTAATTTTTAAATTAATTAGTGTTATTATTCATATATTATGTATTTATCACTCCAATTACTCTATTTCATTTCCAGTAATCTAATATTTCATTCCTTTAATGTAAACTTTCTAATCTTCAAAATAATCAATCATTTATACAGTATTTCGTTATTGAAATATTTCATTATTTTAATATATTAATTATATAAGCTATCTTATTTCATTTTACTAAAGCATCTTTATAAACAATCTATTCATGAATCTCTTATAGTGACTTAAACATTGTTAACATTAAAATTTAAGTTTATATAATAAAACTTAAGTAATCATGATAAATTTAATCAGTCAAACAATATTTATCATCTTAAAGCTAAATATTAACCTAAATCGAATTATAATCTTTTTAAATTTATAAATCGAATTAAGTTATGATTTATGTTTAATTAATTCTATAATTAATATTTCTAGATATTTATTTCTATTGTTATAATAGGCTTTATTAGAATTAAATAATTCAGATTCTACAAAAAAGTACTCATATTTATTGAGCTAAGAAAATTATTAGATAATAATTAATAATAAGTATTTAATTGAATTATATCCTGCTTATTATTTACTATTATATGTATTTATTTCATATAACAATCCATGTGTATATATTCAATTGAATAATCTATCTTAATAATTGTTAATTCATCGTTTCTTCATTTTTCCCTTTGGATTCAAAAAATAAATGTTCCTTTGTATCTGAAATAACTATAAACATAAATTGTTGAATAAGATCTATTTTATGTATGTATGATTTACAACATGAAGAGTTTGACACATTTATGCTATTTCCATGATTTATTATTAAAGTTCATTAGTCATAACGGATTCTTTAGTCATTTTCATATTAATAATAGATTTCTCCTTTTAATATTATGATGTAAAATAAAATAATTTTAGGATTTAAAATTCCTCTACTTATTCTTGTCTGTATAATATCTTTATTTATCATTACACTTTCAATTTCATATGGGAATGTTCTTTACATTCTTTTAATTTCCAAATTTTATTTATTAACATTTTCATCTCTTAAAACTATTTTTAATTTTAGTAGTTTATTATTTAAGAATACTAATTAATATTTCCTATCTATATACAAATATAGTTCTAATACAAGATTTAAATACTTTGATAACTGCTTCTTTTTTTTTGTATCAGTCTATCATAAAATTTTAATTAATATATTTAATGAATTTTCTAATGCTGTAAAATAAGTATTAAGGTTTTCTTATAAGGAAAATAATATATCATAAACAACTTTATTTATTTGTAAATATATTTAATTTTCAATAGTAGATGAATGAGTTATGTTCTAATTATTAATAATGAAAAGTGATGTATTTAATTCTTTGATATTTAGATTAGATTTGATATAAATTATTCTTGAATATTTGAGTAATAGGATAATTCTAATCTTCAAAATATTGTCATAAATTTGAATTTTATGAAAATAAATAATATTGTTTAAGATCAATATTATTCATTATCAATATTGATGTAAAATTGTGTAATTGTGATTTGTAATTTTGGTTTAGTTATTGAATGTATTGCTAAATTTATATATAATTCATAGCATTTATATAGATTGTAGACATTGATTCTTAGAATACATGTCAATTCAAATATTATAAATAGATGTGAGTGTTAATAGATAATAGATATTGTATATTTAGTTAATGATAATATAGGAAAATAGATTAGATAATGTTAGTGATAATAATAGATAATTATAATAATGATGCAAATGATTAAATGTTCATTCTTCATGTGCATGGGTGGGTTATGTTCCCTTAATCATCCAACAGACATAAGCTGGATATCCTAATTAAAGAGCTCTTAATGATCTGAAAAACCACATGTTTTGATTTAATTCTAAATAAAAAATATTAATAATTATTAATCATTAATCTCCTGAAGAAAACTTGAATCTTTATTTATTGGATTTAAGTTTTCCTTAATTATCTGAAATGAAATTTGGAATGTTAATAAATTATTATGATTTAGTAAGATTATTGATAGGAACTTCAATTTCCTAAACATATTATTTATTTAATTCTTATGTCCAAGATTTTGAATCTAAAGATAATTTATCTAACAATCCACAAAAACTATTAGATCTGGACATCTTTTATGATAATGCATCTTCATTTTTCATAGATTATTATCCACCTTAATAATAACTATAGCACATTTAATATTATTGTTAAGCTAAGAAATATTGATATTAGTATATCCAATATTATTATTATTATATGTAATTAATATTACTATCTAAACAGATTACTTTTAATGGTTTTTCTTCTTGTATAAATTCAGTAGTCTTATACTATTGGATAACTAATTTTTAGATTATATTATTTATTAGAATACTGATATCTAATTATTATTATTGTTCTTTAGTTTCCTTGTTTATTAGACTTTTGAATCTATTTTTAACTTAATTTTCTGTTCTATTTTTCATCTTTTAAGAAATCTTAGACCATTTTAAACCTTCAGATTAAGATAGTTTCATTAAAAATAAATCTTCTTCTGGTTTCCAATTACTTCTAATAAAAAACTCTCTTAAATTTTACCTATTTATTTATGGATCTAAATAGTTATTCCATCTCTCTCTACATTATTTGGCTTTCTTAAAATATCTCCCATTTGATTTCATGAATATTTAAAATTGTATTTCATTCCATTTTAAATTGTTACTACTTTCCACTTCTTCTTTTAATAGCTCTTCTTCTTCTTAACACCATTATAATCTATCCTCTTTTCTTATTAAATGACATAGCCATTTATACTAACAATTTAAACCATTTTTGAATTTTATCAACTATCCAATCATCTCCCAATCACACTAAAATACCTAATTACACATACCAATTTTTAAACATTAATCTTATTCATTTTACAATATGATATCACTATCCAAATCAATACTTTCCATTCTTAATCTGTCCATTATGTTTGACTATGCATTAAAACGAAATTCCTATCATTATTATTTACACTTACTTTTAATCCTCAAAAGCATAAAAGTTTTCTATTTCTATAAATGTTATCACATTCTAACTTAATCGAAAATCCACTAGTGTTTAATATTCTGTCAAATTGATATTCCAATCCTCCTATTCAAGACTCTTATAATAATCTAGAAGTATATTTCCATGAGATTTTACACATTAAGATTACATTTAATATTTATCACAATAAAATATGACCTATGAATCTAAATTCAAAGATTTTTTTCACTAAATTAGTTTAATAATTTCCATTTATACTTATATTATGGTACAATTATATTATAAATCAAAAATTATGATTTTCACTATTAACATACTGATGTAGTATATTTCAAATATACCAATCACATTTCTACATTATTCAACTTTTTATTCTTATTTTCTTATTACAATTCTTCTTTTATATCTCTGTAAATTTCAATATATCTTTCTCATATATTCATTTCCTTTTCAACTCATTCATAATTTATAAAACCAAATTTTTTTATAATTTAATACTCATTAAATATCAATTTTAGGATGGTTTTCTTTTTTTACATTTGCTGGTCTATATTTCTAAATTAAGTTCCTTTCTATCTATTAAATCTAATTCGAGCTTTTCAACATATTAAAAAGTATATAGTAATTAATCTCACTCTTACAATCCATAAACATAACAATATTTTCTATCTCTTCATCAATCAATTATAAATGTTCTTAAATTATATAATTGAATATTATCTCATTTAAATTACCTATAATTATTTTATTTAATAATGTACCATACCATTCTTATCATTATCATTTTCTTAAATATTCCTAAAAATTAACTTATTTATATTGCATTCTAACTTTTATCCTCGACATTGTTCATTCAATAATAACTTCACTTTGTGATTTCTTAGTTTCTTCATATAATTTTGGCATTTTTGTCCATAAAATAGCACCACCATAAAATGTGTTTTTTTTCCTATCTATTAATCTGTTGGTATATCCAACAACTAAAATAATCATATTTATAATATAATTTCAGCAGTATGATTTTTATTTTGTTTACAAGATTTATTTATTGTTTTTATATTAAATGATTCATTAAAAATAACGAATCATTTCGTATTCTTTCAATTTTTCAGTAAAAAATTCAACCAACTTTTACCATTTTTTTATTTCATTATCAAAATGTCTAATGAAAATTTATCATATAGATTCTTCTTCATTTTTTCTTTCATTTATCCTTCTCCATATAATTTCATTCAAATTCACAAGAATTTCTTATTGTCCTTCCATCTTTCCTAAAAATAATCTTAAATCTGGTAATTCTCTATGTAAATCATCTAGTATTTCATCTATTCAACTATTGTATGGTTTTTTGCAATTTAAAATTCAATTCTATTTAATAAAATCAACTAACAAATAGAAATTCAAGATAATCATTATTTTTAATCAAATTATAAAACTATCTTACTAAATTAATCATTTTATCCAAATCTCTAAAATTGTTATTTGAAATAATTACTATTAAATCACTTATATTTAATGCTATAAAATTGTTTATTTCATTGATTTACCTTAACTAAAACGATCTTCAATTCCATTCATTTCAGCTCTACAATCTCTCAATAATATTTTTAATATATTTTATATCTTAAATTCTGTATTCAATTTGATTTACTTGTATTTCATCTTTTTCGGTAAAAATATTTGTAATATTTCTTATTTTATATATTCAACTCTCATTTTAAATACTTCTTGTAGTAAAATTACTCGATGTAACTAATTTCATTCCTTATTGGTCCCTCACATGATTCATAATAATATGTCAATTCTCTATTACGATGAATACAGTT